CTTCAGGAATCCAAATAAAACCCTGCTGCACAGGAAGGAGGGTGGGAGTATGGGAAAGCAGTGGAGGGCCTTCATAAAGAGCACTGGGAAGGAGACAACACGCAGGATTAGATAGGAACACTACCAACTAACCCACAGCCCTGAATGCAGCGACGGGGAAGAGAAGAATTGTCCCTCCCGGCTCCAGAAGTGAATAGAGCAGAAATACAAGTTTGAAAGCAGAGCCACGTTTCATGAAGCAGATGCTGGGAACCACCAGGCTCCTGCCGGTCTACATCGCTTGTTTTAAGACCCTACAACTCTAATTAAAGCGGTTCTGCAGGAGGCAGCGCCAAGAGACCTGGAAACCCACAGAACCACATGAACACCACACAGGAGTCTGCAGACAGCTCAGGCTCTGGAAACACCAGCGCACCCTGCCAGAAAGGTAAATGCGAGGATGGAGTTGGCCACACAGAGAACCTACACAGTGATACTCACGTGGGGAAAGCTGGTTGTCCAGCGTAGAAAGAAAGTGGATGGAAATTACCTTGAGCTGCGCTCCAGTTGAGGACTAGACAATTGCTAAGGGAGGGCTGACCTACCCCCAGTGACTTCTGGGTAGAAATTCAATCCAACAGAAATAGGGTTACTTGTTTGAACCCCTCCGAGACACTGCCCACAGAAGGAATCTAATCTGGACTTGAGACACCAACAACAGCTCCTCCAATAGCGTTGACTCTGGAATCCCTCTCAAGGGAGCGCCCATCCAGCGCCATCCAGCGCCATCCAGCGCCATCCAGCGCCATCCAGCGCCATCCAGCGCCATCCAGAGCCATCCAGCGCCATCCAGCGCCCGCCCGACCCGGAAAGACTCCTTTGTTTTTATTTTTCATTCTTTGCCCTCGCATAACCACATTTTTTTAAGCTTTGGTTGTTCTGCTTCTGTGCCTGTGCTGCAGTATCTGCTCCACTATTTCTTACCTAAAACCCACAGCGTTTCCTCTCATAGCCATCTGGTCCTTTCTCCTACATTAACCCCTCAAACTCTAGCAACAAGACCACCAACCCAAACCATGGCCAAATTAACTAAAGCAAGCTTTATTCTTGTGAACAGACTGTCTCCCCCTAAGGTGGGATTCATGAAATCAGCGTTGTTGTGGGGAAGTTAAGGGTTTTATAGCTCAGGAGAAGGGGCTTTCCCAATGGGGGATTTGGCAGGAAATAATCAGGGGTCACAGAAGCAGAACACAAGCATAGCAACTTGGTCATAGCAACCTTCTGAAACAAAGGCGTGGTTGCGAGGTGGTCATAACAGGGTATAACTTAGGAGCTGTGGAGGCGATAACGGGGACAGATGGTAATAATGAAATCATGGTGGACACGGTAACTTTGCATTAGTAAGCAAAGAAAAGGGAAGGCAAGAATTAGGGCTAAAGAAACCGAGAAAGTAAGCAGTAAAAGCAAGGAAGAGGTTTTCAAACACAAATATGTCATCTGTGGTTAACACACACACATATCTGCAGGGAATATGGCCCAAGACCTTATCTGAAAATCATGGGCAGACCAAACCATGTACATACATGTATACATGTGCTTAAATACACACACACATATAGCTTATATTAGACACAGTCAGGACTAAATTAAATCATTCCGACAATATAACAGTAAAATTACATGTTCAACTATTCTTACCCTTTGAGTACATTACTAAGTAAAATAAGGATTACTTGATCACAATCACTGTTATACTGTGACAGTCTGATAACCAAGGCCACTAATGTATGTGTCAGGTAACACACACCGTGTGGACACAGAGTGCAAAACCCATGTCACATCCGAGGCCAGATGCACAGGGAGTGTAGGATTTCATCAGCACACACTTACCATTCCACTTTCTGATTTTTTTTTTCCTTTGACATGTTCAGGTTGTAGCTATCCATGGGTAATAGAAACCATGGAAACCAAAACTCAGAGGGTGAGGTGGTGGGCTGGTACTTCTATAGTCAAAATAATGACTGCACACATCTGCATCCCACGGGATGCCCAAATGAAGGGACCGCTATGGCAAGGGACCGCTTACTGTCGAGCACTATAGATGTGTCTCCAGCCCTCTGTGGCGTGTCAGCACAGAAGCAGAATCCATCATCACAGGATACCTGTGCGTGTGGAGGAGACCGTGTGTGTGTGGAGGTGACCGTGTGTGTGTGGAGGTGACCGTGTGTGGAGGTGACCGTGTGTGGAGGTGACCGTGTGTGTGTGGAGGTGACCGTGTGCATGTGGAGGTGACCGTGCGTGTGTGGAGGTGACCGTGTGTGGAGGTGACCGTGTGCATGTGGAGGTGACCGTGTGCGTGTGGAGGTGACCGTGCGTGTGTGGAGGTGACCGTGTGTGGAGGTGACCGTGTGTGGAGGTGACCGTGTGCGTGTGGAGGTGACCGTGCGCGTGTGGAGGTGACCGTGCGCGTGTGGAGGTGACCGTGCGCGTGTGGAGGTGACCGTGCGCGTGTGGAGGTGACCGTGCGCGTGTGGAGGTGACCGTGCGCGTGTGGAGGTGACCGTGCGCGTGTGGAGGTGACCGTGTGCGTGTGGAGGTGACCATGTGCGTGTGGAGGTGACCCTGTGTGTGTGGAGGTGACCGTGCGTGTGTGGAGGTGACCGTGCGTGTGTGGAAGTGACCATGTCTTTTCTGAGTAACACTCGACGGCTTTGTCCTGGCTTCATGTGCTCCGTGTTTCCTAGCTCGAGTGTTCTATAGATAGCGTGGCAGAACTTCTAGTAAGCCAAGAAACAGACGATAGAAAGTGGGTCTGAAGTTGGGGAAGGATTGCAGCTGTTATAAGAAGCATTTTCTCCAACAGAATCATTAATGTTGGTCTTAAATTAAGGAGATGGGAGAAAGGAAGGGGCGAGGAGACGAACATGGACTCACACGTCCTCACTCTATTTCCTGGGGCTGGAACGTAATGGCTCCTGATTAGTCTTAGCATCTTTGTTGCTGTCTGTTTGCTTTTCTCTTGCTAGGTTCACTAGCTTTACCATACAATCCAATTTGTTTACCAAGACAGATGCCGCTGTGGAGCCTAAACTCTTCACTACTTCAGTTTCTGCTGAAGAAGTCGGTTCTCTGACTCCATTTTCCATGGAAGAAATATTAGTTAGGACTGAACAGTTCTCCACTGTTGACTGAACAACCATGGCAGCAGGTGGTGTGTTGAAGTGTTAGGTGGGCAGTGGCAGGTAAGGTCACCTTGATTCCAGCACTGTCACCCCCCAACTTGCTTTCTCATTTGGGGGGTCCAGATGGCTGACTAAGGAGTACGTACAGGAGCCAAGTTTGAGCAGCCGATGTGCTGACCCTGGACCATGACTCCTCAGAACACCTGCCTGAATGATGGCAGTGTGCTGTTCCCTTCCGTTGTCAGCTATGGCTGCCCTCTTTCCGGGCACTCCTTCCATCTGCATTTTAATAATCTCCTTTGATTCTCATCACGAGCTGGGGCTTGTTTTTTAAATTATCTTTTGTTTCTTACACAACAAAAGCCAGAGGTCTACTACTGCAATCCCTGATAAAGGGGGTGGCATATATATATGTATGTATGCATATGTATATATATACATATATATAATATATATGAATATATATTAGCAAACATCCCAGAATGTATAAATTCAGAGTTTTGTTATGCTAAGAATGCTTTACCGTGTGGGACCAGGATGCATCCCTAGGGCTTGAGCTGGCTTTTGGAGCCCACTCCTTATGGAGGGATTTCTTGTTCGGCCTAGATATAGAAGGGAAGACCTTGGTCCTGCCTCAAAGCCACGTGCTAGACTTTGTTGACTCCTCATGGGAACCATGTCCTCTCTGAGGAGTGGATCAGGGTTGTGGGGGTAAGAGGAGGGAGTGAGAGGAGGGGGAGGGAGTGGGAACTGGGATTGGTATGTAAAATGAGAAAAGATTGCCCAATCAGGCCTTTGATTAGGGCAGCCTGCCTTTGTGGCTCACTTGTTCCACTTCACTATTCCCTCCGTGTTGTCAACAGGATTGTCAAGATTCACTTCAAAGTATTCTTGTGTCTTTACAGTGTAATATCATCTCTTTTTTTTGTATTTCAGCATTTTAGTGCCTCAACTCACACATTACCTGTATACTCGGTGACAGAGTGGAGCTGGTCCTGCCCAGAACTAAACAGTGGAAATGTAATGAGACCATAGTTACAGTTTTAAGTTTCTCGGGAACTACATGTTTTAAAAAAATAAAAGACGTAGGAAAGCTAAATTTCAAATACTTATTTATTCAATGCAAAGCATTTAAAATAACATTTCTACATATAATCAAGATGCAATTGCTAATGAGCTATTTTACAGTTTTGTTCACCAGGTCTTTGAAATCCAATGTGTATTTTACACTGAGAGTGCCTCTTAGATCAGCTGTAACTATCGGCCCCGTGCTGGGCACAGCGATGGGAGCCCGTAATTCCAGGGCTTTGGAGGCTAAAGACAGAGGAGTGAAGTTCAATGTCAGCCTGGGGTATAAAGTGAACTCGTGTGCTACATGGTGAGGCTGTGTCTAAAATCTCAGAGAGATGGAAAGAAGCGAGGGAGGCGTAAAGACAGGGCAGATACAAATACTGGCCCTTAAACAGTTTACAAATTTAACTGCTGAAAAGGCAGAGCTAAGGTGCTGAAATACTTCAATGTTTCTAATGAATGCGTTGAGAAATGTTTTTTTAATTAAATTAACTAAAATTAAGCATAATTAAAAGTCACTCGCCTTACAAGTTTCACGAGTCTGGTGGGGGACTTGTGCCTCCCGTCCCCTTCCCTGCAGCTAGCTGCACTCAGCGGGCATGTGGGTGGTGTGCGAGCCAGGACACAGGATGAGCACACTGCATCAGCCTCCCTTGTCTTGGGGATCACTGTCCAGAGCTGTCTCCCCTTCAGTGTCTAACACTGTTGCTGCTCCACAGGCTTGGCCCGATCTCAAGACTGCTTAGGGACAGGGGGCCAATCCGTCGTCTGTCAGCTGCTGGCACCGAGTCAATGCTGAAAGACTTGCCTCGGGTATATGTGAGATTGTGAAGAGACCTGAAAATTCACTATTTAAAGCAGTCTCGTCCTTCACCCTACCACAGTCCAACAGGGGGATGCACTCAGGTTAAGTGTTGAGAGAGAGCATGGACAATGCCACCACAGAAAGCTGAGTGCTATAAAAGCAAGCATATAGTCTGGAAAAAAAAATTTAAAGTTTCCCAAGATGGAATATTTTAGCCAGAATTTAAAGAATGAGGAAGATTTGGTGTGTGTGTTGGGCAGGGCAGGAAAAATGCCAAGAGAAAGAACAAGTGCCAAACACCTGCTGCAGAATGGGACCACTGAGCCGGAACAAGGGCTCAGAGATGCGGCCGCGGCGGTGCTCCTCCTCCGTGCTCCTCCGTGCCACAGCGTTGCTCAAAGGAGTGCAGAGGGCATCAGAAAACCTCGCATGGTGGTGCTTGTCATTTTACCGTCTGATATGGCATGCGAGATACCTAAGTTTATAATTTATCTTCATTTAACCATAATTATGAGCAAAATTTTACTCCAGATATATTTTTAATTGCCAGTATTTTAGTATTTTTATAAGGCGCATGCTGTGAAGCATTGTTTCGTTTTGCTAGTGCACAGGAGAACACACAACAGGAAGCAATGGGCATCCCAGCAGCAGCATGGCGGCCTGTGTTCACTTGGCTTTCTAAGTGGCTGAATCCCACCCCGGAGAGCCCTGGTGAGCAGGCTAAACTGCTTGTGCAGTCAGACATTTGGGGCGACGCATCGCCCCCACTCAAAGCTCAACCTGCATAATAAATGTCAATTCAAGCTCCGCGAAGATTTCCAACCCTGAGACTCAATTGAAACTGTATATATAGACTCACTAAGGACTTCTCTTCAGACCCGTTCTAGAACTGTATTTACATTTACTGTGGGTGACCTGGACCACAGCAGCCTTGTATTTGCATAGACATCGCCCCCAGTTACCCTAGGTATCGCTCGAGGATGACTTACAAGCTGGAATATGTATTAAATCAATAGAATCAGTTTTCTTTCAATACATATACACAAAGAATCAATTTGTACCAGAACTAAAATACAGTAGAGAATAAAGCAGATAGCCCCCACTCCATCAGTCTGGAAGGGTCTTCTATGATGCTACCAGCCCCTTTCCATGCCTGACGTGTCTACACATGACTTAACTGCTTTGTAAAAGACAGCAATTCATAAAACAGGTAACTGCTATCTTCTAAGCTTTGCAAAAGCATTTATGTCTTATGTGTAGTTCAATAATTTAGGTGTCAGAGGTTCCCATTTTAGCTTAAGTAGCCCAAGCTGCCAGCTGCTGGAAGTCGTCATCGTCCTCTGTCCTCCTGGACGACGCTGGAACACAAAAGTGAGGAAACAAGTCATGAGTGTCATTTACACTGCACATGGGAAACGGGTAGGAATGGCATACTAGATGTGTTTATGTATACAGGTCAGGTATAAGGAGGCGCTGAAAGCAACAGCCTGCCTACTGCTCTGAGAACCTACGTGAGCACGGGTTGTGGGGTGTGCACACACCTGTTCGAGATCGGTGTGCACTGGAGGGCATGCTGGGCTTCCTACTGGGCTGTGAGGGGAGGGAAGAGGCCGGCACATTCGGAAGCTGCATCTTTGTCATCTTCTTATTTAATTCTTCCTGCTCCAGTTCCTCAAGTTCTGCCAGTAGCTCATCCTGAACACAGAGGAGAGAATTACGGAGTTAGTGTTACAGGAGGTGGCTTCCCTAAACACAGCGAAGAGAACATCTGCCACCCAACTGATGTGTGCTAACCCAGTGGAACGGAATATTTATTATTTTAAAATTAAGCAACACTGAGCAGTGATTGGAAATGAATGCTTCGGGTTGTACAAATTTGTTGTAGTTAATCTTATAATACTTCAGTAAACAGCCATTCAAGTAATTTGGGCTGAATATATAATCTCCTCTGGTTCTGGAAATTTACACCTTGACTGTCATTTTTTCAGTATGTTCTTTTTCTTTCTCTCCAATTGAGAATCTCTGCAATTTTAATTAGAGGAAATAAATATTTTCAGTTGAGTTAATACTATTGAAACTAAAACTAGCATAGAAAATATATTGCACAGAAAGTAAAAAAAAAAAAAAACATAGATCCTCTATCAGATCATTGAGGGCAATATAAATTGTGTTTAGGTGATTTTGTTCACAGTGCTGGGGATGGAACAGCAGTGTCTGCTCATGCTAGGCAAGTGCCGTGCCACTGTATCACACCCCAGCCCCTGTGTTTGTGTGAGGGAAACTCAAAACTGGTATAATGGATTTTTCCTTTATAGTGGGCTCAGAAAGTCTGGCTTAATCAAACTATCTTCCACCCAACACTTGTAAAAAGAAAAACTCCCATCATCTTGAGGTCTTAAGGACAGCGGTCACCTCCTGCCTAATCTGAGATAGCTCACACCTGCCTGATCTGAGATAGCTCACACCTGCCTGATCTGAGATAGCTCACACCTGCCTAATCTAAAATAGCTCACACCTGCCTAATCTAAGATAGCTCACACCTGCCTAATCTGAGATAGCTCACACCTGCCTGATCTGAGATAGCTCACACCTGCCTAATCTGAGATAACTCACACCTGCCTGATCTGAGATAGCTCACACCTGCCTAATCTGAGATAGCTCACACCTGCCTAATCTGAGATAGCTCACACCTGCCTAATCTGAGATAGCTCACACCTGCCTAATCTGAGATAGCTCACACCTGCCTAATTTGGGAATTCCTCCAGCATGCATCAGCTCCCGCAGAAGTGAGAACTTCAGACGCTGTCATGAGGAGAAATGATTTTAGATGACAGAAGGGGGAGAGCCCGGTCTGACCTTAGGCGGGACCATGTTTACTCACAGCAAACGGGCATCTTGTCACCCACGTGTGTAACAGGAGCAGGGATGACTACCTCCATACACTACATTCCCTCTCGGCATCCACTAGGGAAACTGGGAGGTGCAATCGTTCAGCAGGGAGCTATCAGAGAAGGTCTAGCCTACCTGTGTATTCCTCCAGTTAGACTCTTTATTCACCCATCATTCAACAAGGTTATTGAGAACCCATTACTGGGCAGTGCCGGGGTAAATCAGCACGCCCTACATCCAGGGGCCATGTTGAATCTGTGCACATATAATTGGCTCCATATTTGGTTGTTCCGCTGCTGTTGTTTTAAGACAAGGCCTCCCTATGTATCTCAGGCTGGTTTTGAATTCACCATGTGACCCAAGGTTGACCTTGAACTCACAATCCTCATGTTCTTCTACATAGGGCCAGACAGTAGTATTTTGGACTTTGTAGGCCAGATATCTTCCTGTTGCAGGCTCTTCTTTCTTATTTTCTACAGCTCCAGAGAGTTGAAACCATTCTTGCCTTGAGAGCTACACAAGAACAGGCCATGACTGATCTGACCTACAGGTCAACTCCTTATGTGTATGAGTGTCCTGCCTGCATGTCTATAAGCGTATCACATGCGTGTCTGGTGCCCACGGAGATCAGAAGAGGGCATCAGTCCCACAGAACTGGCAGCATGGATGATTTTGATCCCTGCTGTGAATGCTGGGAGCAGAACCCAAGTCTTCTGCAAAGGCAACAAGTGCTCTTAACCTCTGAGCCATCGCTCCAGCCCCACGCCCACAGCAGTTTGGAACATTGCTAGCAGCAAACCTTCACTCCCTAAAACTCTGTGGGCCACATCGTAGCTTGTGACTCATCATCTGTTGTCAGGAGCCGTTTCCTCCTAGCATTATTGCAGGAACCATCACCCTGGGGAGTCTGCAGAGAACCCCACACCCCCAATTGTGTTAGGAATCATTCTATTGACAGAGCCGACCCCACACCCAAATTGGCTGTTAATGGAGAGCTATCTGTTAGCGGAACCCACCCCACATTCCAAACTATCTAGAGAACTAGGTGTGTCAACCTGACCAAAGGTAACCTCCTGGACCACGTGACCAACGTGAACCACGTGGCAAGAGCCCAGGCCCCTGTGCCCACCCCCCAAATCCTTACCCTATATAAGCTGTACCCCATCTCTAATAAACAGAGGCTTTGACAGAAACCCCCGCTTAGCCTCCTTCTTCTCTCCTAGTCCATTATCTTCCAGATAGTGCCTCTCTGGGACCCTGGAAAAACTGAACTGCCAGGCGGGTTACAAACCCTAGACTAAGTAACCAGCCAAGGCAATCAACAATCTGTCCTATCACATAGAAACAGAAAGCTGTGCTAGCTGGGTGGTGGTGGCGCACGCCTTTAATCCCAGCACTCGGGAGGCAGAGGCAGGTGGATCTCTGGGAGTTCCGGGCCAGCCTGGTCTACAAGAGCTAGTTCCAGGACAGGAACCAAAAAGCTACAGAGAAACCCTGTCTCAAAAATCAAAAAAAAAAAAAAAAAAAGAAAAGAAAAGAAAAAAAAAAAGAAATCTTCAGAAAGCTGTGCTATTCTGTCCCTCGGGAATGTGCCTAAGAATGTCCTCACCCTGGGCACGTGTAACTTGAATGGAACCACTGAAATTTCCACTGTGAGCACCACCACTGTAGCTACAGCCTTCCCGGGCTGTGGGACTGATTGACATGAACAGAACGGGAGTGTAAACAATGCCACTCCACAATGACTTGTTTGATAGGCTGAGGGATGAACGGAGCAGCCTAACTCCTAACTTAGCAGCCACAGAGCAGTCATCCGCTGTTACAGAGCGACAGCGTCTGCTCCATGGGCAGATGTGAGAGCACGTGATCCCTCATAATGAGACTATTTTATACTCCAGCCATTAAACATCTCTAACCCCATATAACCTTGCTGTTTTCTTTTTCCTTAATATCTAAAAACCTAATTAAGAAGCTGTATGCCAAACCATAGTCATCTTTCCTTGAAATCAGCTACTAACACCTCATTTCCCACCTGGAAAATGATACTTCCCACAAATATCATTTATTTGTTAAGCAATAAACATTGTCTGCCATATGTGATAGGAAGTTGCCCTCGAGAGCAGCCACATTGCCACACTCTTTAGGATTGCACCTACCTCATCAAAGCCATCGGCAAACTGAACCCTTTGAGAAAACGCTTCTGAGATTTCCTGGGCAATGTCCTGCTGCTCGGTGATATCCTGCATCAAGTCATCAATTTTGTTCAGATCCCTGGGGAACATTTAGTTGGAATTTTAGAGTTTCATCTTACAATTATGAATTTAGACTTAATTCCATATGAAAACAAGTTTATTTCAGATATACTCTTTAGTTACATCAGCACCATAACAAAAATTCCTGGTTCAACAGTCATCAATTAAGAAAAATAGTAATTGGAGTATCAAAAAATTAGTAACCCTGGACAATCACATGTATTTTCAATACTACCTTCTACCTTCGAGAATCGCTTGACATAGAAGAGTGCAGTACCCCTCTGTGATGCCCCTTAATTCGCTGAGAACCACAGCACAGCAGTTCTCAGCGGCCAATCCTGACGCAGCTCTGTAGAGAAACTAAACTTTGGGACTGGAGAGTCACTTTGTATAACACAGTAGCTCTGAAATGCTGACTCTATGAGGATTTCCCTTGCAGAGACCCAGCACACCCTCAGGGAAGCTCCAACCTCAGCCAGTGGCGCAGAAGCAAGCAGGTCTAAGGACAGCCGCCTCGCAGTTAGTCTCCGGGGTCTCCAGGCCAGGCTCTAGCTTGCTTTTGTAGCCCTGTTTCTGAATCTTTCCTCCAGCTCAGAAAGCAAGCCAAGCTGATTAGACACAAGAGAAGTGAGCATCCTTCATGATGAGGTAGCCTCACCACTGAAAGGCTGAGCCCAGGACTCCCCATCTTTTCAGTTCCTCAGACTCTACTACGACAGAACTGAGAACTTCGGCATGTTTTCATAGGTGATGGAAAGGAATTGTCTTATCATTTTCCTCCCACCCGTTATGCTCAATCCTCATTAGAGCTGTGGCAAATGTGTTTGCTAAAGGGAGTACAGGGCATGTACAACCAAAGTCTGGGGCTGAGACTAAACCTCTCTCCAAAGAGCACGATTGTCTCATGCTGCTAAGGGACTTAGAGGTAAAGCCCAGCTTTGCAATCCACTTCAGCACTCAAGTTTTCCACCGTGGGGTACTGGGAGTCCCACAGTGAGGTACTGGGAGTCCCACCGTGGGTACTGGGAGTCCCATCGTGGGTACTGGGAGTCCCACAGTGGGGTGCTGGGAGTCCCACAGTGGAGTGCTGGGAGTCACACAGTGGGGTGCTGGGAGTCACAAGTGGGGTGCTGGGAGTCCCATCGTGGGGTACTGGGATCCCACCGTGGGGTACTGGGAGTCCCACCGTGGGGTACTGGGAGTCCCACCATGGGGTACTGGGAGTCCCATCGTGCATATAATGGGCTCTGAAGTACCAGGATGGCAGCTGGTTGATGAGTTACTAAGGCAAGAAGATGGCCTCAAAGACCTTTGCCTCTTCTGGCCCTCTGGAACCGAGTCTGTATCTCAGCACTTACTACTCCTTGGCCAGGAGTCTACTGTCACTGTCCCTAATCAGCAGGGGGCCAGGTCCCAGGTCTGCATTGCCCACAGTGAACATAGACCACGGTACCTTCCCACATCTCAGAGACTGACTGCTCAGTGCTTGCTTGCAGCAGGAACTGTGCTATGTCTAGCATCTCACTGAACTTCTCAACAAGCCGAAGTAAGTAAGAAATGACAGGTGAGGAAACTGAGTCAGGGAGACATAGAAAGTCATTTGCCAGGGTACAGTCAACTTTGGGAATGGGATTACAGCCAGAAAACTATAAACCCTGGTCCCAGAAACTAATACTTTGTGTCAGGGGCTTTCAAATAGTAGGTGATGTCCGTCTTGGTCTGGGGAACTCGGTTAAAACAGAAGTTCTATTCTCAGGCTAAATTCAAGGAGGCTGGGTATCTGCATGCTCTTAACAGCTTTTATCTAGATGATTGTCATAGGCACCAAAGAATGGCAACCACTATTCTACAGTTCTAACACCTTCACTGACCTTAGAATCCTAGAATTACTGTTTTTACAGATAGGATTTCATAAAGGAACTGAGAAATGGTGAAAACAAAACTCTATACTTTTATCCTTTTTTTTATTTTGTCACTGGAAATTCAAAACTACTTCTGAGAGAGCATTCCATTCAATACCAGAATCGTCATACGGTTTCACAGGCTCTCCCCAACATTAAGGACAAGGAGTCTGGGTCACTCACATGTTTTCATGAACAGCTTTCATTGCCTTGGCTGCAAAGCCCATGTTCCGTAAGACCTCAGTGTTGGTGTGCGAGTTCTCTAGCGCTTCCCGCTGGAACTCAATGGTGGACAGGGTGCCATCAACCTGCGAGAGCTGCTTCTCAAACCTCTTCTTCCTTTTCAACGCCTGCAAGGCAGCTAAACAAGGAAGAAACCAGTGTTTGTATCAGAAGAAACAGCTACACTCACTTAAGAGGCTCAGACCATGCATGTACCCAGAACTGCTGAAACCTGAGGACCGATATCACATTAAACAGCCCCAAGACATGGGGAACATCTGTCTGTCCGTCTCTACACCAGCTATTCTCTCAAAACACTCGGTTATTCTTTCTTCCGAAGGTCTGGCAAGTGTAAGAGGAGGGAAAGTCAACTTGCATAGTCACAAAATATGCCACAGAAATATGTATGTTCATGTCATATAGGGGGTAAAGGTTAAGTATATTAGGAAAAGCCATACCAAAAAAAAAAATCAATCTTTACAAGAGGCAAAGACCTTAATGGCTGTCAAATCTAGCCTCCTTTCTTGAAGGCAAATTTACTAAAACTCAAAGAAACACAGTGACTTGCTAAAGACAGCCAGTTTAAGGCAGCTAGAACTTAAAGTCCTGAGCTGAGCATATTGATTTGAAGGGAGATGGCCCTTAGGTTGATGTCCCAAAATCAGTGCAGCTGGAGTACTGCTCCGGGGTCAGATGGCACTCTGCTGAGAAGGCAGAATACTGTTTCTGAGAAACAAGATCTGAATAATCCTACCCTGGCCAGTTACTTGCTCCACCTGGAAGCCACAAAACCAAGAGTCCTTTAGACTGTGGCACCCTGTGACATAGCCTCCAAAAGGGCTCAAAACATCCAGGTTGACAAGACATTTGGGGAAAATCCAAGAAGAGAACAGTAGGACTGTGTTAAAATACATACAATGTATAATATACAGACAAAAGATAACTAAACAGATTTGGCAAAGGAAGTCAAGTGGTTTGTGGATTCAGAAGGAAGCAGGCAAATTATCACAACAAATCTCTGGGGAAACCTCCCAGTCTGTGCTGGCCAAGGGCTTCTTTGCAGATCCAGTGGATTCCGCTATTTATTCCATTGTGCCCAGACTCTCACGCAGCCATGGCCTCTTGGTAGTTCTACTAGTGATTGATGGAGCTCTATTCTTCCCAAGTGCATGTCGGGCAGCCACCACCATAAATGACACAGTAACTGCCTGAAGCGGGGACTTGACAGAAAACTAATGTTTATTTAATGAAACCCTCCACCCTGGGAAAACAACAGAATCCAAGGCAGAAATCCAAGAAAATGATAAAGGAGCATGCACACCCCACCCCAAGCCACCTTGGTGTCTGTATTCAGAGTTCACCTTGGTAACACTAAAGTACTGTGGTATGGTTTGTGATTCCTCCGATGGTACAAAGAAATATTAACCCAAATGCAATGGCTGTGATGTATTAGGAGAAGGAACAGTCAAGCGAACCATGGGAAAAAATCTAAGAAGCAAACGAAGAGACTCAGGATTGCAGAAGCCAGCACCCGTGTTGACAGATACGAAGAGACTCAGGACTGCAGAAGCCAGCACCCATGTTGACAGAATACAGAAGAGATTTGCAGTGACTTTATTTGTGGAGATAGGCAACTATTTTGTGAAAGATTCATGGACAGCGAAAATTTTTTGAAAACCCGTATAAAAATACCCTATCCTATTTTTATCCCTTTCCCCTGAAATCCCATTTTACTTTATTTAAAATTAGTATTTTGAAATTCTTTTTATTATAATCTGTCTGCAATAATTTTATGTAAATCTCTATTTCAAACACGGTTTGTTAGCTTGTTTGCTTGTCTTTGAGACAGGATTTCATTATGTAGTTTAGACTGGATTCAAACTCATGAATGCCTTGTCTCACTCAACTTCCAAAGTCCTAGAATTTCAGGCATGCACTACCATGTCTAACTCAAAAATAGGATACTTGGGGTTTTTTTTTTGAATGCTAAAAGATTTTCCACATGGTTATACATGTGAAGTCTATCTCCAGAGTGAATTCTTTAGAACATCATGGCAACAGGAACTGCTGAAGACTTTGAACAATACTTAAATGGATATATGCATTAGAATTCTTTCCAGTATAAATCTGTGCGTGAGTTACAGAAACTGGATGTGCTGAAGACTTTCCCACATTACAGACACTGTGTGAGATCTTTATGCTTGTTAAAAGGACAAGAACAAAGAAATAGTTTATATACCATGTGTACATACAAAAGGTTTCTATCCATTGTGAATGTTTTTACTCTTGGACCAAGTGAATCTAGTAAAGACTTTCTGACAATGGTTACACACATTAGGCTACTGACTAGTGTGAAGAGTTTCACGTCTGTTATGATCACAAGAGCAGCTGAAGGCTTTTTCTACAATTTTTATGTGCATAAGGCTTTACTTTCAAGTGTACTATTTTATGTCTGTCTACAAAATGAAGTTTCCACATCTTTTACACACAAAGAGTTCCTCTCCAGTGTGATTGTTTTTCATGCAAATCAGGACAAATTGTAAGTGTTGAAAGGTTTCCTGTAAAGTTTACATGCAAAAACCTTCTCTCCAATTTGAACCTTTTCATGGATGCTCAGCTGACTGGAGTGGGTAAATGCTTTCCCACAATGCACACATATATAACACTTCTCTTCAGTATGATCTCTTTCATGTTCATGAACCTTACATAAATAGAAATTGGTGAAGGGTTTTACACAATACTTACATGAATAAGGCTTCTCTAAAGTGTGACTTCATTCATGTCTGTTATGACTACTGAGGTCACTGAGGCTTTTCCAAGATGTTTACATGCTCAAGACTTTTCTCCCATGTGAATCTTTTCCTGAACGTCCAGGTGATTGGAGCAGGTAAACACTTTTTCACACTGCTTAAATGTATTAGAATTCTCTTTAATGTGAACTCTTTTCAAGAGTCTTACAAGAACTGAAACTTGTATAGGCTTTTTCACAATGCCTATAGGTTTCTCTGCAGTGTGACTCCTTCCATGTCTGTTACAACTACTGGTGTTGTTGAATGATTTTCCACAATGCTTAGACACATAAGGCTTTTGTCAGTATGAATTATATCATGGATGTTCAGATGCCTACACCAGAAACAGTTTTTCCACAATGCTTGCATGTATAAGTCTTCTGCTTTTCTGTAGTGTGGCTCCTTTCATGTCTGTTACACCTACTGGATTTGTTGAAGGCTTTCCCACAATGCTCAAGCATTAGATTTCTCTGCAGTATGGTTCCTTTCATGTCCGTTACAATTACTGGAGTGGTTGAAGGCTTTTCCACAATGCTGACATGCAGAGGTTTTTTTCCAGTGTGAATTATTTCATGCATATTCAGAATCCTGGGACAGAAAAGGGCTTTTCTACAATGCTTGCATGTATAATTTCTCTCTGCTGTGTGCATTCTTTCATGAATGTTACAAGCACCGGAATTGGTGTATACTTTTCCACAATGCTTACATGCATACGTTTTCTCTCCAGTGTGAATTCTTTCATGAATATTTCAATAAGAAAAACTGGTGACGTTTTTTCCACAATGCTTACATGCATAAGCTTTCTCTGCAGTGTGCCTCCTTTCATGTCTGTTACAACTACTGCAACTATTGAAGGCTTTTCCACAATGCTTACATGCATAAGGCTTTTTTCCAGTGTGGATTATTTCACGGATATTCAGATTACTGGAACAAAAAAAAGGCTTTTCCACAATGCTTACATACATAAGGTTTCTCTGCAGTGTGGCTTCTTGCATGTCTGTAACAACTACAGGGCTGGCTGAAGGTTTTTCCATAATGCTTTCATGTATAAGGTTTCTCTACTGTGTGCCTCCTTTCATGTATGTTATGACTACTGCGATTGTTGAAGGCTTTTCCACAATGCTTACATGCATAAGGTTTCTCTCCAGTGTGGCTCCTTTCATGAATGTTTCGATGAGAAAAATGGGTGAAGTTTTTTCCACAATGCTTGCAAGCATAAGGCTTTTGTTCAATGTAACTGCTTTCGTGACTTTTATGATGATTGAAGGGGTGAAGGCTTTTCCAAAATGTATTGTCTCCTTTGTGAGTTACTTTATGTTTCTCAAAGCATGCTGCATATTTAAATGTTTTGCCACATTGCCTACAAATGTACCTCTTCTCTTCAATATGACTTTTTTCATGGTTGGTAAGCTCACTGGAATCAATGAAGGATTCTTCACAGAGACTACATACATATTGTTTCACATCTTTATGGGTTTGTTCATCATTCTGGCCATGTGTGTATCTCATGAAGACATCCTCATTGAGTTTATCTTCAGTGTGAGTTCTCTCCTGAGGCTGATCAAAACAGAGACTCCTACAGGCTTCATTACATTGTTGTTTTTCCCTGGGTTTCTCTTCAGGAGAAGCTTCAAATACCTGAAGTGATTCAGAATAAATGATATCTTTCCAATGTTTCTGATGTTTCAAAGCTTTTGCCACAGCTCCCTTATACAGTGATGGTTTCCCTCTATCTTTTTCTCTGAGATACCCATGTAAGGATAAATCACCAATAATGTTTGTTACAAGTAATGAGTCTCATGAGCTCTTACTCTGGAAGACATATCTTTATTGATCACATTCTCTGGAATAGGTTGCTGGTTTTTATCACACTCATTATGACATTCATTTACATAATCTTTCTCAGTGCTCTGAATTTCCATATTCCTGCTGAGATCTTTATAGTCCTCTTCAATATTTTCTTCTAGTGCTTTTTCTATGGAGATCAGATTAGAAAATGTTTCCTTCATCACATCTCTGTAGAGATTCTTTTGACTAGAATCCAACATAGACCACTCTTCTAAGGCGAAGTTCACTGCCACATCCTCAGTATTTAATGGCTCCATTTCGTACTTCTGATGTGTCTCAGTTTCTTCCCAAGAGGCCTGTGATACTTATTTTAAGTAGCATATAATTGACAGTTTTTTCAATAGTCACTATTTAATACATATTTTCGTCTTATTTACTGTAATAACTTTTTGGTTTATGGATATATTTTATGCATTTTCTGACTACTATACTGTTTGTCCTCTTTTTCCCTTTATGTGAGACGATAAATACCTTTGTTCATTTTTTACTATGATTACTTGTG